GGCAAAGCTCGAGCTCGCGCCGCCGACGGAGGAGACGACGCACCTGGTGACCGCGAGCGTGTGCGCCGCCTTCGTGGGGGGGATCGCGCTCGCGCTCGCTTTACAGGCGTTGTACGGGCCGATTTGCAAAATCATGTTGGTCCCGAACGAGGTGGAGGCTTTGCTGAGGATGTACACCGTGTTTCGATGCGTCGGTTTGCCGATGTTCGCCGCGGCGAACGCCCTCGAGGGCGCCTTCTTGGGGCGCAAAGACGCCCTGACGACGATGTGGGTATGGTTAGCATCGGGTGTCATCACCGCCGGGTTACAGGTCTTGTACATCACGCCAGGCATGGGGGCGACGTCCGCCGTGCTCTTCGCGGGCATCGCCCTGACGACTGGGCAGGCGTACAGTTTCGCGATGTTCTCCATCATCGCGCGTCGTCGTGGATTCCTCGTGCTTCGCAGCGTCTTCGAGGTCGCCGAAACCTTCTCTCAGAGCGCGAAGCGAGCGTTCAAGAAGTTGGTCGACGCCGAAATTATTAGCGAAGTCGCCTGGTTGGTGCTCAATGCGACGGCGAGGATGACGACGTACATGATCCTCACCACGTTCGCGACGCAGTTCGGCGTGGTTCCTGCGGCGGTGAATAAAACACTGCTGGATATTTATATTTTATTGGGTCTGTGCGCTGAGCCCGTGTTCACGGTCGGAAACGTGTTGTTACCTCGAAAGCGGGACAATCCCGAGGACGTCGCGATCACGCGGCGAGCGCTCTTTTCCATCGCGTTGTTCATGGGGCTCACCCTAGGCGTGGCCGCATACATTGCGTGTGGATCCGCTGTGCTGTTTGATGATCCCCGATCGCTGGAGATGGCGAAGAATCTGCGCGTCGTCGTCGCCGTCACCATCGGTTTCTCCACCGCGGCGTACGCCACGGACGGGTGCGTCATCGGCACCGGCGACGCAAAGTTCGTCGGTACCGCGCAGTTGGTCAACATAGCCATATTTATAGCCGGGTTCATCTTTTTGCAGCGCTCTTACGGCGCCGCGATGTCGCTGCAACACGTTTGGAGCGCGTTGCTCGCGTTCCAGGCGCTCCGACTCGTCGAGCACGCGTGGAAGATTCGCGAGGACGAGCACGCGCTCGGGCTAGCCATCCGAGGCTGATCTCTTACCCAACCCACTACCCCCCACCCAACCCCCCATTTGGATACCCACATGGTTCACTCGCACACCTATACGTCCTGCATCATTGCCTCTCTTTTGTAACGTATTGATGGTTGTTAAAAGGCGACGCGCGCGGACGCGGCGGCGCCTCCCGTCCCACACAATCGCCCTCTCCCCCATGCGCGCCGCTCGACCGAGCGTTCGCGCGCAGACACAGCGCACGCGCAGAGCCTTCACGCGCGACGCGATGACGCTCACCGCGGCGACGAGTGGTGAAGAGTTTTTCGCAAACCTGTTCGGTCCCAAACCAGCCTTGGGTGCGAAAACGACGTCTCGTGCGCGACCGGCGACGCGACCGACGAACGAGACGGTGAAGGTGGTCGAGGGCATTCGTCACAAGCGTCTTGGTGGGCGCTCAGGGATCGTGGTGAGTGAAATCGGTCTCGGGACCCAGCGGTGGGGGAGCGCGGATGTCAACGCGCCGGACGAGACGCTGTGCCACGCGATGATGGATCGAGCCGTCTTGGAGCGTGGGGTGAGTTTGATCGATACGGCGGAGCAGTACCCGATCCCGAGTGACCGATCGAGGCCGGAGGGGCGAACGGAGGAGATCATCGGGCGGTGGTTGGCGCAGGATAAGAGTCGCAGAGAGAAGGTTGTCATCGCGACGAAAATCACGGGCGGGTCCAACGTGAACGCGAAGAACATTCAGAGGGATCTGGAACGGTCGTTGTTGAGAATGAAGACAGATTACGTGGACGTGTACACGTTACATTGGCCGGCGAGGTACACGCCGCAGTCGAACTGGGGGCAGTCGCTGAATTACGACGTCGAAATGGAGCGAGCACCGTATTACAAGAACGCCGCTTCGTTCGAGGAAATCACCGAGGCGATGGGCAAGATGATCGACCAGGGCAAGCTTCGTGGGTACGGGAGCTGCAATGACAACGCGTACGGGTTGACAGCGATGTGTTACGCCGCGCGCAGCGTCGGTGCGCCCGAACCATGCTGCATGCAGGGCGATTATAGTTTGATAAACAGGCGTAGCGAAGAAAATGGACTCGCGGAGGCATCTTCACCCGTGCACGAGAACGCAGGATGGATGGGATATAACCTCCTCGCAGGGGGCGTGTTGACGGGAAAGTATCGAAAAATCAAAGCTGCGGTCGATAATCCCGACGACCCAGCTCTTGCGGAGCGTCTCTTAAAGAATCCGAGAGGCCGCATGGACGATTATTCCTGGGGCCAAACTTTGTACAGGTACAGGTCTGGTCCGGCACTACGAGCCATCGACGCGTACGCCGCGCTCGCCGAGGAGGCTGGGATATCACTCACTGAGCTCGCCCTTCGATGGGCTCAAAGACGCGCTTTCATGACCACCGCGCTCATCGGACACACATCGCTCGCGCAACTCGACGAGACGCTCGATTATTTTGACGCCTCAAAACCCCCCTTGGACGACGCTCTCATGTGGGCCATCGACCGCGTGCACATGCGGAACCGACTTCCGATATTCTCTAGCGATCGTGTCGGCGCCGACTGGGACGGCACGGGCGAGATCGGCGAACGCATTCCTTGATATTCCACCGCGTCGAGTCCTCACTCGCTGAATCCGCATGCGCGTCGCGGCGAGCGCTCTCACCTCCCACCATCCTCGTCGTCCCCGCTCGCGCTCGCACGTCACCCCACGCGCGATGCCCAGTATTCTCCGCCCGTTCACGTCCAAGAAACTCCCCGGGATCGGCGAGCGTTTACCCGGGAAGACGTGGGAGACGTGCACGTACCTGGATTACAATGCGACGACGCCAATCTGGCCTGAGGTTGCGCGCGCGATGACGCCCTTCGTGAACGAACACTTCGGGAACCCGTCGAGTGGACACGCGTTCGCGTCACCGTGTCGAGAGGCGATCGCGCGGGCGAGAGAGCACGTGGGAACGATGTTGGGGTGCGACGCGAGCGAGGTGACGTTTACGTCGTGCGGTAGCGAGAGTGATAATTGGGCGATCGAGGCCGCGGTTCGAGCGTTTCGGCGAAGAATCGGGGATTTGAAGGCCAAGCCAAAGGTTGTGGCGACGTCGATCGAGCATCCAGCGGTAATTGAGTACTTGAAGTCGATGGAGGCGTTTGGCGAGCTCACGTACGAGCTCGTCGGAGTCGATGACGAGGGCGTCGTGCGCGTCGACGACGTCGCGAAAGCGATCGATGCGAACACGTGTTTGGTGACGGTGATGCATGCGAATAACGAGACGGGGGCGATGCAGCCGGTGAAGGAGATCGCGGACGTCGCGCGAGCGAGGGGCGTTCTCGTGCACACGGACGCCGCGCAGAGCTGTGGGAAAGTTGCGGTCAAGGTGGATGAACTCGGGGTTGACATGGTGACCATCGTCGGCCATAAGATCGGCGCTCCCAAGGGCGTTGGAGCGCTGTACGTTCGGTCCGGGACCGATCTCGGCGGGACGAAGCCGTTTTACGGCGGCGGACAGGAGAGCGGTCGACGCGCCGGGACGGAGAACGTCATTCATATCGTCGGTCTAGGAAAGGCGTGCGAGATCGTCGAACGTGAGCGCGATGAGTGTCCGAAGCATCTTAAGGCTATGCGTGACGATCTGCAGAAGCGACTGGTTGAAGCGCTTGGCGGCGCCGACGGCTCTGGTGTGCGAATCAACGGTCCGGCGGACGACGCCAAACGCTTGCCAAACACGCTGAACATCGGCATCAAGGGCTTGCTCGCGTCGATTTCTCTCATCGAGCTCGGTGATGTCCTGGCCGCGAGCGCGGGTGCGGCGTGTCACACTGCGGACGCCGCCGCCGCGGGCGGCGCCACGGTCTCCGACGTTTTGAAAGCGATGAATGTCCCGATGGAGTTCGCCGTCGGTACGCTTCGATTAAGCGTCGGTCGGCACACAACGAAGGCTGATATTGAACGCGGCGCGTCATTGCTCATCGAAGCCGCGCGGCGACAGAACGCCGGGGCGCGGTAGTAGCCGGTAGGATATGAATAGTCACCTCGCGTCGTGAGAACAGCAACAAGCAGTCTTCACGCGCGCGCGCGCGCGAACGAAAATGCGTCATCCGCGCGCGTCGCGTTCACCCACGAAACGTGACGACCTCGCGTGCGTCACCTCGCGGCCGTGGACGCCGAACGTCTCGTCAGGGTGCCGCGGGCCGTCGAAAAAGCGCGCAGCGGGCTTCTGGTCGAGGTGCGTCTATCCCGATATCGCCGGTCGCGCGCACCGCGAGGATTTCATGTCGTGGTTAGCGCTCGAGACGTGTCCACGAAACGACGCGAGGTATCCGGAGTGCATGGCGTTCGCCGAGCTCAAGGCTCGTTCACATTTGTACGACGTTCTCGAAGAGCTCGTCGAGGACGCCGACGCGTGCGAGGATGAAGGACGCCTTCGGGATCACGTCAAAACGAACGCGAAAGTGGACGTGAAATTTGAAAACATACAGTGGGAGAGTCGTGCGAGAGTCGAGTGCGCGCGAAGATGTCTAATCATTCTCCGACGCGAGCTCGTCTCCGCGCTCATGAATCAATCGTCTTCGTCCGAGGAATCGAACGACGAGAACGACGATGACGACGACGACGACGACGACGACGACGCGACGAGTCGATCGATCTAAGAGTGAGCGAACAACGAATATCATCAATAAAAAATGACCCCGCGCATGAATTTGTCATATCGCCAGGCTCTCAAAGCTATCAACCTTCTCAATACCACCGTCGCGCCGATGTCTGCCGCGATTGCCGCCCTTCTTCTTTCCCTTGTGCTTCGTCTGTACCTCGGCCCAATCGCCGCCGTCGAACTCTGCGATGTCGACGCCATCTTCTATCGCCTTTTCCCTCGCCCTCGCTTCCTCCTCGAGCTCATCTTCGATCACGTCCACCGCCGCGTCGACGTCGTTTCGACACGCCCGCAGCGCTCTTCGAAGGCGTTCCGTCTCGTAACACCCCGACCGGCGAGCGATCTCGCGCAAATCCGGATCCCTGAGCAAAGCAACGCTCAGTGGCCCAGCCGGGGTACCGGCTTTACTCCCACGAATCCGCACGCTGTTGTAATGATCGCATCCTTCGTAACTCACGTGATACGTCCGACATCGCTCATCCGTCGCCTCCGCGCCGCTCACCCACCGCGGCGATCCCGATTGATGAATGCACACCCCCACCCCGAGCACCCCCGCCGCCGCCGAAACTTCTAAATGTCCCGCCCACTCCCCGTCCCTCGACATTCGTTCGACGTACGACTCAAAATCTTCGTCGTCCTCGACGAAGGGCGCGTAATCCTCTTCCCGTCGCCGAATCGCCTCCACCACCATCTTCCTCAGCTCTTCGTGCCGTCCCTCGTCCCCGAATCGCTGATCCGCCAGCGCGCGAAAGAAACAATTCCCATCCGCCTCCACCTCCCGTCGCTCCAGCCCCAGCGCGCGCAGTTGTTCCACCAGCGCGCGCTCGTCGTCGTCCCCGTCCCGACGTCCACGCATCCGTCCCTCGTTCGTCCCTCTCCCGCGTCCGCGCGCGTCGTCGCGCCCGTCCACGCGCGCGCGCGCGCGCGTGCGTCGATCCCGCGCCATCTCGCCCGTCGTCGACGCCGTCTTCCCCGCGCGCGGCGTCGACGCGCGCGGTCGTGACGTCCACCGGTGGACAGTCGAAAGGCACATCGCGTTTCCAAAGGCGTCCCCACCGGTCGCGCGCGCGACGCACCTTTCGCGATGGACCTTTCGCGACACGCGCGCGCGCCGCCACATCGCGATGGCCCCGCGTCGACGACGAAGCCCCTCGCCGAGCGCGGCGACGACGTCGTCCGCGCTCGCGACGACGACGAAGCGGCGACGGACCGCGGTGGGGACGGAGAGCGAACGATTGACGAGCGACGGCGCGATCGCGCTGACGGTGAAGCGATCGTTGAAAAATGCATCGTCGAGGCGCACGTCGTCGCTCGCGGCGCCCATCATGGCGCTCACGGGTGGACACGGTGCCTCGGTGACGTCTCTATGCTTCTCCCGGGACGGTCGGCGGGTGTACAGCGGATCGACGGATGAGACGGCGCAGCGATGGCGGGCGGGGGTGGAGAGCGAGACGGCGAACGATTGCGCGATGATCGGCGCGCGCGGGGCGATCACCGGGATCGACGCGACGTTCGATGACGAACGCGTGGTGACGAGTGATGCGGGTGGGGTCTTGAGGGTGTGGGACGCGGAGACCGGGACGCAGGTGAAGTCGTACGCGTCGACGAGAGGGACGACGTCGAACGACTGCGCGGCGGGACGCGGGAGTTTAGTGATGAGCGTGAGCGATGACGGACGGGCGTGCGTGTGGGATCTCAGGGTGAAGAAACGAGCGGCGAAGACGTATGAACACAGAACGCCGCAGACGTCGGTGGCGATGAGCGGTGACGGCGAGCGAGCGTACACGGGGGGCGTGGACGAAGTCGTTCGCGCGTGGGACGCGAGGATGGACGACAAGGCTCTGATGACGCTCAAGGGACACAGCGATACGATCACGGGATTAGCCATCTCCCCGTGCGGATCATACGTCCTGAGTAACTCGATGGATAACACGATGCGAATGTGGGACACGCGGGCGTACGTCGAGGGCGAGCGCGAGTGCAAGCGCTTCGTGGGACACTCGCACAATTTCGAACAGGCTCTGCTGCGATGCGCGTTCAATGCCGACGGTACGCGCGTCGCAGCTGGTTCGTCGGATTCGTGCGTATACGTCTGGGACGTCGAGGACGCGAAGCTCAAGTATAAGCTTCCTGGTCATAAAGGCGCCGTCGCCGCCGTCGCGTTTAGCCCGACAGAGAACCCGGTTCTCGCGTCGGGCGGCGCCGACGGCGTGATCTTTCTCGGCGAGTTGGATCGTTGAAAATAGTTCATTGAATCGCGTGTTAATCATTTACATTTAAGTTCTAGTCAAAGCTAATCTTCCTCGTCGCTGCTATGAAATCCGCCGCCGCCGCGTCGAGCCTTGTCCATCGCTCCGCGCGTCTCCGCGATGACATCCACGCGCGCCGGTCGTCTGTGACTTCGCGTGGGCGTGCTCGCCCGACTCGAGTGATGCGATGTCGATTCACTGGCTCTGTACACAGGCACGCGCTCCTCACCGCTCGCGAGTGAATCGGAACGATCACCCAGAGAGCGGTCACGGCGCGATCGAGAGCCGCGATCGCGCGACCGATGGCGCGACCGACGATCGCGGTCTCGAGAGCGATCGCGAGAGCGGTCACGGCGCGGTGATCGATCACGCGATCGATCGCGTCTGGATGGCGATCTGCGATCATCGAAACCGGGGTTGTCGTAGCTGTAATACCCGGGAGGCATTCCCGGATAGTGCGCCGGCACGTACATCGGCTGCACCGGCATCGCCACGGGCGCGGCGTACGCGTACGGCATCGGCATGTAGTGCGGCTGCGCGCCGTACTGCGGAGCACCGTAGTGCATCGGCGGTGGATGTCCGAGCGGTCCAGGCATCGGTTGTGGTCCGCGAGGATACCCTTGTGAGTCGTACGACGCGTGAGATCTGTCGTCGCTGTATTCGCTATTCGAGCGACTTCGCGGCGGCGTGTACCCGGGGTATCCGCCCGGTTCGGTGCGCGGATACTGCGCGGACGAACCATCGTAACCACCGCTGAAACCACCCTCCGATCGCGCGTAGCCATCGACGCTTCGAGCCCCTCGAGGGCCCCCGCGATATCCGTCGTGCGACTGCGCCCCCGGACGCTGCGACTCGATCCAACGGTGCATGCGCGCCTCGTGCGCCCGAGCGCGCATCTCCGGCGTGTTCAGCGTCTCCCTCGAGGCGTTCGGCTCGAGACCTTCGTAACAACACAGACCGTGAATGTTCACCAACGTATCCGACGCGCCGAGAGAGAGAAGGTACTCACCGAGAGCTTGATATCCGTACGCGAAACAAAAGTGCAAACCGGTGTGCCCGTTATTCGTCTGCGCGTCGATGAGATCCAACCTCGGGGGTTTAGATTTGTAATCCGTCATCTTCAGCACCAGCTTCACCGATCGTCGCTGATTGTTCTGACACGCGATGTGAATCAGGGTGAGACCGTTCCCGTCGCGCACGCGAGGATCGACACCCTGGGCGAACAACTTTTGCAACTCCTTCACCCGACCGTGTCTCGCGCGACTGAACGCCTCGACGACGAGCGCATCACCCTCCACACCTCCAGCGTTGGATCCACCCCACGAGCTCCCACCGTCATCGTCCGAAAAATCACTCGACCGCTCCGAACCGGTGTCCGATATCGCGTCGCGTCGCGCCACGCGCGTCGCGTCGTGAAACCGCGTCGCGAGCTGATCGACCTCATCCCTCAACAACGGCCGTCGCGCGTTCGACGCCGTCCTATTCACCAAGCTCTCATCGTCACCGAAACCCGGAACCCCTAACTCCCCGCCCGCCCGCCC